GATCATGTGCCCTCACCAACAAACAAAAAGAGTGAATATAAATTGGTCCACACATTCAAATATGCTTTTGAATGTAGATTAAGGACATCACACAATTGAACAAAATTCGCTCACTCTCACAAAGAGTCCATATGCATCCCGTGGTCGTACCATAAGCTTGCCCATAGTGTATATCTCTACTAATTTAAGCTAGCCAAATCTAGGATCAATTTGGACTTTAAGGTTGTAATGTAGGCTAAGGGACGGGTATGATATATTTAGAAACAGTGGCTAACCCTCCTAAGCACTTTAATACACTACATTTACAATTCAAGCACATATTCTTCTCAAACAATTTACTTGCCACACACCATATGCAACATAGCCCTCTTTTCAATTAAGCACTTCTATAATTCCACTAGCACAAATCAATAAGAATTGGAGGCGTATGTGTTTTTCTACATTATTTGAACTCTCATTTTTTCTTTCTTTTTTTTTTTCTTTTCACACACTCCATACATTAAGGTTCATTAGCTAGTGTCTTTTGATTTCAACTTTAGTGCACCAACAGGCCCTTCCATGGTTCCACTCAAAAGCTACTCTCCAATCTCTAACCTTACTTCTTTTAGCGACTAAGTGCCTTAGGAGGTAAAGGTTCAATTAATATCCAATTAAGAACAAAATAGGGGTATGGCTTGTAATGTGGGTGCCAAAAGAAAGATCTATAGTCTCAAAGGGCTAGCAACGGAAAATTTTACTTTTATGTGACAAGCACATCCATGATCAAGCAAGAAAATGCCTACGTCATCTCCTAGATTAGCACAACTTACAATTTCGCTTCAATTAACACACGGCAAGTTCTAGACTACACAAGATAGCACAGAAAATCACAAATCCTCACACACACATTGCACATGACTCAATCAAGACGGTTCTGTTCAACTCTCAAGTCAAGCAAGCACACATAATTGAGAAATTTAAGCAATATTACATTATGTGGCATACGAGTCAAACAACTGAAAAAAAGTGCGTCACCAAATAGGCTATTTACTTTACTTAGGCTTCACAATTCAAATCAAATACACGAAAAAACAGAATGTATGTCATAGCCTAATGTGCCAGCATCAACCATGTCAATGAATATCTCAGAGCGACTCAGTTTCTTCCTAAACTACTCCTAAAAAAAAAGTACCCGATTCGAGCTACACCCTTGGAAAAGAACCGGCGCCCAAAGAAAAACCAAGGGATACTACCTAACTATCCTAAAAAACAAAAAATCTTTTTGGTGTTTTTAATCGGACTTTATCCCTTAAGAACTTGTCCAAAAGATACATCGTCGGGAAAAATCTGAACTTTTTCTAATTCTAATTTTTTTTTCAATTTTTGTTTTTATTTTTTTTTTATTTTTTAACCTAGACTATGTCTACGAGTTCTAAAAGAAAAACTAAATAAAAAAATAGTTTTATACAATTACACTTCAGAAAGTAGTTTCCCTACCCCACACGTATATTATGCATAGTCCTCGATACATGATCATAGAGAAAAATATTAAAACAAGGGCGAGAAATACTCCCTGAGACCCTCATCGGGCCTAGCTCGGACATGATCCTCAATATTAAAGGTCGGGACAACCCCACACTTAAGCTCAAACATGCTCCTCAACTTCAACTTTGGGTACTCAGACTTCCCCTACTCTGCAAAATAAAAACAACACAAAAACTTGACACTAAAAAAATAATCAATACATAAAAGATATACAGGTTGAGTTGCCTCCCAACAAGCGCCTTATTTGTAGTCGTGGCACGACTCTGCTACTCTGCTCAGGCTGGGCACTCTCTCTTCTTCTTTCTCCCATGAAGTCTAGCCTTTTTGCATGCTCTCAGAAGGTCTCCTCTTTCATCTCTGGCTCTTTTCTCAATCATCTTTACACGCTCAGCTGGAAACACCACCTCCTTTAACTCAGTTGTCCCATCTGGAACACTATAATTCATATGCTGACTCTGCTCTATTCCCTTCGATTCGACCACAGTAATCATGCACAAGTCCTCATAATGCTTAGGGAGCTTAAGTGCCTTGTACACATTAAAAGTGACCTCCTCATCGTCAACTCTCATTTTTAACTTCCATGCCCTCACATCAATAATTGCTCCACTAGTAGCTAAGAATGGTTTCCCCAAAATAATGGGCACTTCATCATCTGCCTCGTAATCAAGAACAATAAAATCAGCAGGAAGAATAAACTTTTCCACTCGAATTACCACATCCTCAATAATTCCTTCTGGCATGACTAGTGACCTATCTGCTAACTGTAAAGTGATTGTAGTAGGTCTAAGCACCCCCAATCCGAGTTGTTTGAACAAAGAGGATGGCATCAAATTTATACTAGCCCCTAAATCACATAGTGCTCTACCAACTTCTTGTTTTCCAAGAGACAAAGAAATTATGAAACTCCCAGGATCCTTCAACTTAGGAGGAAGTTTACTCTAAACTCTAGCACTGCACTCTTCAGTAAGTGCAACTGTTTCGAACTCTGCATGTCTTCGTTTGTTTGCCACAATATCTCTGAGATACCTTGCATACTTAGGCACTTCTTGCAAAATTTCCACCAAAGGCAAATTCACACTCACTTGGCTCAAAATATCTAGGAATTTCTTGTACTTAGCATCATCTTTTTTCTTCTGCAGTCTTTGTGGAAACAGAGGTGGTGGCCTAGTCTCAATTACTAGCTCAGGTCCTTTATCATTTTTCTCATTCCCCTCAACTGGCTTGGGAACTAATTCTCCTTCGGGATGAGCTATATTCTTCTTTTTCTTTGGAACTTCTTCTAATGCTCTTCCATTTCTCAAGGTAACCGCATTGACTTAAGCTTTAGGATTGGGCTCAGTATCACTAGGAAGATCCCCTATTGGTCTGGTATTTTGGGCTCTGGCAAGTTGGCCCACGTGGTGCTCCAAATTTCTCAGTGTTGTGGCTTGAGCCTGCTGATCAGCCATTATTTTCTGATTGAAAGTTTGTTGATCTGCTATTAATTTCTGATTGAAATTTTGTTGATCTGCTATTAATTTTTGATTTAGGGCTTGCTGGTCGGCCATCAATTTCTTCATCATCTCCTCAAGGCTAGCTTGTTGTTCAGCCTGAGGTGGTCTGGATTATTGTTGAGGTGCTTGAGGCCGGTATTGATTCTGATTGCCTTGATTTCCACCCCAAGAGAAGTTTGGGTGATTCCTCTAATTGGGATTGTAAGTTTCCCCATACTGATTTGTTTGGCCTCGATTTGCATTACCCACAAAATATACAGATTCTAGATTTGCTGGGCATAGATTGCTCATGTGACCTTCTCCACATACTTCACAAAATATTTGAACTTGTTGCACTGGCTAGGCTTGTTGCTTGTTAATGATCATGATCATCTGATTGACTTGGTTGGTCAGCGTAGAGACCTATGCTGACAATGCTGAGACAACATCTAATTCAAGAACCCCTGGTGATTTTTGTACCATGTTCCTACCCATATCTCCTTGAAAATTCGGATTGCTTTTGGAAAATTTGTTCAATAACGCATAAATTTCATCAAAGCTTTTCTCCAATATTTAACCTCCAACTACATCATCGACTACAATTTTTGTTTGGGGATGGAGCTCTTCTATGAAGGTGTGAACTAACACTTCATTCATCTGATTGTGATGAGGACAGTCTCTGAGTAGCCCCTTGAACCTTTCCCAAGCTGAGTATAAAAATTCTCCTGCTTTCTGTTTGAAGGCAACTATCTCACTTTTGATCTTTGTAGTTTTGCCTGAAGGGAAGAACCTTGCCAGAAATTTTCTTGCCAAATCATTCCATGATGTAATGGAATTAGCTGGTTCTACCTTTAGCCATCGCTTAGCTTCGCCCAACAGAGAGAATGGAAAAAGTGTGAGCCTCACATAATCTGGAGTGACCCCGTTAGTGATATAAGTATCACTAATCTCCAAGAAGTTCAGAATATGCTATTGTGGATCCTCGTTTGGAAGACCCATAAATTGCCCGTTTGCATGAAGTAGCTGGATCATGCTCTGTTTCAGCTCAAAGTGCCCAGTGATTCTAGGATTCACTATGCTGGAGGTAACATTAGCAATATTGGGCATTGCTACCTCCTGAACAGCCATATGTTACTCCTCTGCCATGTTCACAGGAAATTGAATGAGTGCTTGAATATTGTTTGTATCCCTTGCTTCCCTCAACCTCCTGTGAAATGTTTTCTCAGGTTCGGGGTCAAAGCCGTTGAGTCTGTCCTGGCTTCTGACCTTACGCACTCAATCAAAGTTTCTGAGATTAGAGCAACAATCGAGTAACGTTAGACTAGACAAAATAAACAATTAAAGCAAAAACTAGAAAGTAGTTTATATTCAAGTCCCCGGCAACGGCGCCAAAAACTTGTTACTCCCAAACGCACACGTAAATATACGTGGTCGATAAGTAATATAATGATAAGTTGAGTGTCGAACCCACAGAGACTTGTATAAACTACTCACTAAATCACTAAAATTGTTATTCAATCCAGCTAAAATCAAAGTCCAGTAATATGATTATATTATACTACGATTCTAAATAATAACTAAATTATCAAGTAACGAGTTGATTGTTGTGTATTCAGTAGAGACAAGTATTCTAAGGTTGTGATCGATTCACCATTCGTATTGTGTTCTAATTAACTCTCCCTTTCATATAATTCACTCATGGTTGCTAATTAATCGATAAATGCTCTCATAGCCTTCTCCCGAAGTACTACTCACCTATTCTCAATAGATTAAGGCCTATATTCCTATGAAATCAATCTATTAAGAATGCATTAAGATTACGATATTTAATTAAGCACGGTGACTAGGTATATTCCTATCCTAACCACAAATCCGCTCCCCCTAAGGGTTAAAATCGTGCTCTCTTCAATTCTTCTCTAATCTAAACACGACTTTCCCAAGCATAGCATAGATAGTAAATAGAACCTAACTGCTGGCCAAACAATTAAGCAATTAATCACAGAATAGAAGAAACAACCATATATTGGTGAATTATAATCAATGTCAAGCTAATATCAAACAACAATATTCATGGCTAAATCACAACCCCAGAACAATGGGTGTTTAGCCACTCATGATGTAATCAAAACAATTGCATACGTGTTGAATCAATTGGAAATACTTGAAAAAGATGAAGAAAACTGAGAATTCTCCGCTTCCTCACGATCCCGTGTGTATCTTCCTCCAAAGTGGCATCTCCCCCTTCAAAAAATAGGTTTTCTCTTGCTTTTATACGTGTTGGGTAGGTCTAGGGCCGAAATAACCTTGCCCCGGGCGAATTTGGAGAAGATTCACGTCACTGGCATCCAGCCCGGCGCCCACCAGGGCACTGCCCAATTTACCAACACTGTTTTCAGCGCCACAGGTGGCGCCAGGCGCTGCTTGTGGCGCCCAAATGGCATTTTTCCCGGTTTTGTTAAATCTTGCGTGTTTCGCCCCCAATTGCTCCTGAATCATTCCTACAAGTAGAAATACTTCAAATTAATATAAACATAGCATTTAACATCCCAAATTCATGAAACAAAAGTAAATTATGAGGCTATATATATAGAAATATATATGCTTTAAGCTAAACATCAGCAGACATCACGTGATTTGGTCAAAAAGGCGTGATTTGTTTCAGTCCTTACCCGAATTGGCGAGGCTGTGGTCTGCTTCAATTTGATTTCGAAGTTGTCAAGCACAAACAAAAAAGAGGAAAAGGAATATCCTTTGGAATATTTAGATACATAATGAGAGTAGAGAGACCTTTTTGCACAAAAATGGTGCGTCATTCCTCTACTTGAAAGATATAAGAGCTTGGAAGTTTTCTGAAAATGGAGAAGGGAGTGGGGCGTCTGTTTTGAGGGAGATAGAGAGAGGTTAGGAGATTTAGGTTGTGGAAAAGTTGGGCTGTTGGATCTGTTATTGGGCTATTGAGAAGTGATGGGCTGCTGAAAGGTGGTGATGTAAAGGCTTTGCTTGGGCCGAAAACCATGGCATTTTCCTTCTTCCAATTAATTTAATTTTGCTCTCATATCTTAATAACTTGGACTCTATAAAAATTTCATAAATAAATAATAATAATAAGTAAATATAACATATTTGTAGCAGTAAAACTAATATATCATATCTTTTAAAAATAAAATTACGTTGAGTAATAAACTTATCCAAATATGAAATTCTTTCTCCCCACAAAATGGAACTTTCCCCTCCCTTTGGCCAAATATCACTCCTAATTAATTGTTGAATCTCTCCCAAAATTCATGATTATTTTCAATAACTTTCTTCCTTTAAGGGAATTCGAAGACTTAAAGAAGTGGTAGAGGTGTATGGATTAAAATTAAAATCACGTATTTGCAAACAACTTGAAAATAGTCCATCGTGCTAATTACACAAACTGATTGGCACGATTTGATTGAAATTTATATCCACTATAAATTATTCTTGATACTTCAAAATCTTTTAACTATGACCATTTTAAAATTGCAACCATAAAAAAAATAAACATGTCTTTCAAAAACTCTACGAAACTCTAAAAAAATATGTGTATAGTACTATATATGTTGTGTTATATAATGTGTATTTTATGTACATCACATATATATTTATATATTAAACTAATATATATATAATGTGTATAAAACTAAGGTATATGCATATAATAATAATAATAATAATAATAATAATAATAATAATAATAATAATAATAATAATAATAATAATAATAATAATAATAATAATTGACTAATCACTTCAATAACTATAACAACAATAGTAATAAAAGGTAACAAATAATTAAGATAGGGCATGAAATTATTAATGACTAGGGAGCACTAGAAAATTAATCAGAAGAAAGGTAGGACAAAATTGGGTATCAACAACGCTGCGGCACGCAGCCCAATCCAATATATATATTGTTGCGGCATGCAGCCCGATCCATATAAGTATTGCTGCGGCGTGCAGCCCGATCCATATAAGTATTGCTGCGGCGTGCAGCCCGATCCATAATATATACATATAATATTACTGCGGCATGCAGCCCGATCCATAATATATATAATCCTCACCATTTGGTCCTCAACCTCTCTCAGTCATTAACCTCACAGTCACTCGGGCATAACAGTAGAAATCAGGGAACTCAGTCCGAAAAGTTCTCACATTTTAAGAAGTAGAGTGATAAAACCAGTTTTAAACAATAAACAGGTAAAACATGACTGAGAATCTGCTTTTAAACAAATAGAGTGAGGAAAAACAGTAAAAATGCCCCTAAGGGTCTCAACATTTCGGCACAAGGCCCCAAACATGGAATACAACCCATAATACAGTATAAATTTCTAAAATACGGGATATTATAAGACTTAAAATCAAGTACGCAGCTTAATAGCCGCTACGGGACGGACCAAGTCACAATCCCTACCAGTGCACGCGACACACGCTCGTCACCTAACATGTGGGTCACCTCATTTATCAAAATGATACAAAATACCGGAGTTTTGTATCCTCAGTTCTAGATTTACAATGGTTACCTCAAACCGGATAAATTACTACTCTACGACGCCTTTGCCTCTCCCCTCGGCCTCAACCTGCGCCGAATCTACCCAAAATCAGAATCATAACATTAGAATATGCTAAAGGGACGAAGCCCATGCGAAATTAATCAAATTATACTAAAAATCCCGAATTTGGTTCAACCCGACCCCTTGGCCCACGTCTCGAAATTCGATTAAAATCACATCAACGGAATCCTTATCCTTCCACGAGTCTATACATACCACGTCTGAATGGCCTAAAATTTTGCACATGCATCACAAATAACACAACGGACCTACTCCAACTTCCGAAATTCCATTCCGACCCCTATTTAAAAATCTCGCCTATCAACCGGAAAACGCCAAAATTCTAATTTCGTCAATTCAAGCCTAAATCTACTCCGTACCTCCAAAATACATTCTGATCACGCTCCTAAGTCCCAAATCACCTCCCGAAGATATCTGAACCATCGGAACTCACATCCGAGCCCTTTAACACATAAGTCAACATCCGATTGACTTTTCCAACTTAAGCTTCCTCAAAAGAGGCTAAGTGTCTCAAACCTTACCAAAACCTCTCTGAACCCAAGCCAACCAACCTGATAACACAAAATACAGCTGAACAAGGCAATAAGAAGCAAAAATGGAGATAACGGAACATTAACTCATGAAACAACCGGTCGGGTCGTTACAGTAGCAATATAGTTAATGTAAAAAATATAGAAATCTTACATTTGGAACAGGATATGACTAATTTTGAATTTAGTACATTGCTGATTCACCAAAGTTAGGCACAATTTTAGTTGAATTTTTAAAATTAGGTAAGTTTAAATATAAAATTTTTATTCGACATTCAATAACAATTGATCAATATTTTGAGGATAGTTTTGTATATAATTTTTTTAGACTATAAAAATTTAATAATAGATAAAATTGCATATTCTAATAGACAATGAAATTTACGTTTGTCTTGCATTACATATTTCATTTTCGAATCAAGCGAGTACCAAATTCTTTGCGGTTCACGATTGCCGTCTATGGTATAATTTGGTAACATTTTGTATATTACTCATCATACAATTGTACTTTCTATAGCCTTGTGGTTTGCAAATTACTATGAAAGCAAAGAAAATCATTGACAGTAAAAGCTCAGAATTGGTCTTTTTTTTATTAACTGTGTTTGAAAATCTATCTGATTCCTTTTGATAGATGATAGTCCTAGTTCTTATTTGAAAATACATACTTTATTAGACGTATTTTCATTTGAAATAGGAGTACTTGATAAAAGTGGTTCGTTTTAATAAAATTAAACAAATAGTGGCTCTTGAATTTGTTGGCTTAATGTTTCTAAGGTAACAATAACGCGCAATTTGATATGGACTCTTTATAAACTTTATGTTTTAGTCGGATAACTCCCTATTTTAATAGAACTCTTCATTGTAATGACAATTATGGCCTTCACCAGTAGAATTAAACTTCAATTATTCAAGAATATTTTCGTATACCAATATTATTATTCGTGCTTTTATTATAATAATAGTGTATATATATATATATATATATATCATTGTCATTGTTAATATATGTGAATAATATCATATTTTCTTCCGTGCATACTCTCATGGTATCAGAGCAATTGTGAGAGAGCTGTGCATAAATTCCAGCGATTTCAGAAAGAGAAATCAGTCACCGGAATCCTTTTTCCGGCAACTTTTTCAAGGTTGTTTGCGTCTGCATTATCTCTGTCAGTGTTGTGCAAAATCCAACACTACCACATGAGTCACCACTGTCCGGCGACCAAATCCCAGAAAAATCTTCGACAGCAGCCTCCCCACACGCCCCCATGCGCCACCAGAAGCTCATGCGTGTGAGCTCACGCGCTAGCTCGTACAACAACTTCCGGTTATTTTTTGAAAAAGTTTCTTCAGAAAAGTTGGTTCGTCTACCAATTCCGACCCCACCCATGATGTTTAGTTTGATTCTGACCACTTTGAGTTTTTTCTGGCGACTACACTGATTTTTTCGGTAGCTACAGTAATTTTCCGGCAAAAAACATGTCTCCTTCATCTTTTTCAGCGAGTTTTCAATTGATTCTTTCTGTTATTTGGTGAAAATTTTATAGACCTCACTTCAATCCAATGATGTCTTTGGGAGTCGATGCTTTCGGGTCTAAAAATCCGGGATCTAGCAGTTTTGGTGTTATGATTACCTCAAAACTTTTAATAGAAAGTTCAAACTACTTAGCTTGGGCTTCGTCTGTCGAGTTGTGGTGTAAAGGTCAGGGTGTTCAAGATCATTTAATCACGAAGTCTAGCGAGGGAGATGAAAAGACCAAAGCACTTTGGGAGAAGATCGATGCTCAATTATACAGTATTTTGTGGCGATCTATTGATTCTAAGTTGATGCCCTTGTTTCGTCCATTCCAGACAAGTTATTTGGTTTGGGAAAAAGCTCTCACTTTATACACTAATGACATATCTCGTTTCTATGATGTGATATCACGGATGACAAATTTAAAGAAATATGAATTAGATATGTCTACTTACTTGGGATAAGTACAGGCAGTCATGGAGGAATTTGAGAAGTTGATGCCAGTTTCTGCTAGTGTTGAAAAGCAGCAAGAGTAGCGACAAAAGATGTTTCTAGTTCTTACTCTTGCTGGACTTCCTAATGATCTTGACTCAGTACGCGATCAGATTTTGGCTAGTCCGACTGTCCCCATAGTTGATGAATTATTCTCTCAATTACTTCGCCTTGTTGCAGTACCAAGTCACCCAATGATCTCATCACAGACACTTGACTCGTCTGTTCTCGCATCCCAGACAGTGGACAATAAGGCATCTCATACTATGGAGAATAGACGAGGAGGAGGTCGCTTTGGAAGATCTAGACCCAAGTGCTCTTATTGTCATAAACTTGGACACACTCGTGATGTGTGCTATTCTTTACATGGTCGCCCACCCAAAAATACTTAAGTTACTCAGACCGAGACTACATGTAACCAAGGATTTTCTTTATTTGAAGGGGAATATAATGAGTTCCTTCAGTATTGAGCAAGTAAGCAGACATCTCCACAAGTAGCCTCTGTTGCTCAGACTGATACTTCTGTTGCTGGTAATTCTTTTGCTTGTATTTCCCAATCTAGTACTCTTTGACCATGGGTTGTGGACTCAAGTGCCTCTGATCATATCTCTGTAATAAATCCCTTTTGTCAAATATTGTGTATTCACAGTCTCTTCCAACTATTACTTTAGCCAATGAGTCTCAAACTAAAGCAAAAGGAGTTGGACAAGCTAATCCCCTACCCTCTGTCACTCTAGATTCCATTCTTTATGTCCTGGTTGTCCTTTTAGTCTTGCATCTGTTAGTCGTTTG